TTTCTCAACATTTCTTATGTTTCTTTTCACTGTCGATGGTAATTGAAAAATCAATTCTCCAAAATTCATTTTTATTTCTAGTCTGACGCGACACTTAAACGCGTTTCGTTATAACTTATTACATTTTCAAAGACTTTAGTTTACACACACACAACTATAACCTGCAAACACTAAACAGAGTCCTACTATGCTATAATTTAAATGGCTTTCATTTTATATACCTGTATTTGGGTGAGGTGATATGTTACAACAGTTTTGGATGAGGTGAAAACACAAGACAGAACACGAAACAATGGGTATAATATTGGATAAGTTTAAAGGGAAGAATGGAAGTAACTGCAAAGGGCCTATTGGCCCATATTTCTTGATGCTTCTATATTGGTGCAAAGTCTTGAGGTGGGTAGAATATAGTTGTGCATTAATTTTCTGGTGTTGACTTCTTGATGTGTAGTGCCTCGCAGATATCAAGCCACCTGCTATCACTGTATCTATCGATGATTTCTGTGTTTTTTGTCAAGACTTTTCTGGTGATGGTCTGGTTGTGGGAAGAGATTATATGTTCCTTAATGGAGCCCTGTTGTTTATGCATCGTTAATCGCCTGGAAAGAGATGTTGTTGTCTTGCCTATATACTGAGTTCTTTGAGGCTTACAGTCCCCAAGTGGGCATTTGAAGGCATAGACGACATTGGTCTCTTTTCAAGCGTTCTGCTTTGTGTCTGGAGAGTTTCTCATGAGTAGGTTGGCCGTTTTATTGGTTTTATAGTAAATCGTCAATTATATCTTCTGATTTTTGTTTGTAGGGATAACGTTCCTATTAACAATATCTTTCAGGACCCTTTCCTCCGTTTTATGAGCTGTGGAAAAGAAGTTCCTGTAAAATAGTCTAATAGTACTCGTAGCTTGTTTAACATGTTGATACAAGAATGTTTCCAGGATGAGGCTTACGAATCTACAAGTCCAAAAATCTTCCGTTCTAGCTTCATATGCCTCCCAGTCTAGGGATTTTAAGTTGAAGTCGCCGACTACCAACAGTCGTGATCTATTTTTATCAGCTCTGACTATAATTTCTCTCATTATTGTTATAAGATCCTCTTGTTTATTATCTAGCTCCTCCTTTGTCCATGTGTTGCTTGGTAGTGGACTATATGCATTTATGATTGTTAGTTTATCATCCTGATTGCATATCTTTAGTGCTATTATGTCAACTTCTCGTGGATTGGGAATTATTATTTCACTTACCTTTAGGTGTTCTTTCACCAGCACAGCAACGCCACCGCCTTTCCTAATTTTTCTGTCCCGTCTCTAGACCGAGTAGCCTCTTGGGAATATCACCTCATTTATAATATCATCTTCAAGTTTTGTCTCCGTGAGTGCAACAATGTCTGGTGTCTACAGCTGTATTACATCACTTAACTCCAGTATCTTTGATCTCACTCCATCTATGTTGGTGTATGCAATTTTCAGGAACTTGTTCACCCTCTCCTTATTCTTCACTCCCCCTCTCTCTAATCCTTTTGTTGATTTGCCTTTATGTACCACTTTACTGGTTTGCCTACCCCTATCACTTTGTAGAAAAAAGAATTGATTTCTTCTTCATTCCTGCTCTCATTTAAATGTTTTGCCTCGGCGAGGTTCAGTTTCAGCTTCTCTCTGTCTTCTTTTGAAAGATCTTGTCCTAACGACCATACTTTCCCTACCTCATCACTTTGTAATTTTCTAGCATTCCTTAGTACTTCTTCCATCTGTTTGGCACCGTTTAGGGTGATCCTCAAAGGTCGATCTTTCCCTTTTACATACTTTCCAATCCTTCTGTAGTCGCAGACATTCTCGATGGTAGTAAGACCTTCCACGAGGCCAACAATTTTATCTACTACTTTCTCTTCTTCTACAGCTCTTTCTGACCTGGATGTTATCTCCTTTTCTTTGCAACCAATAATTATCAGAGAATTACTTCGATCAACTGTGTTTTACACCAATTTAGGATTTGATGCCAGTTCCTTTTTGACTTCCAGCCTAATGTTTATTTTATCCTGGTTGCTGCAGTGTTTGGCTTCCTTTACTGCTTCTTCTATTTTTCCTTCTCTTTGGCCACTTGTGCATAGGTGAGTTGCATATCTTTCTTGCACTGTTTTATTCCCTGTGTAACTTCCTATATCCGTACTGACAAAAGCTGTTTTTCCTGTTGAATTTCCTTACCTAACCTATCATAGTCATTTAAGTTTAAGTTTGCTTTAACTTCTTCCAAAGCTATTTTTAAGAGTTTATTTTCCTGTTCCATGGTTTTGCAATTTGTTTCCAGTTGAATCTTGTCCTTGCATAAGTCTTTCACTAACCCCTCAAGACCTAAAACCTTGCCACTCAAGTGCTCATTACTTTCTTTCAATTTGCTGATTATTTCTTCATGATAGTTCACTATAATATCTAATTTTGCCAATTTGTTGTGCAGACTGCTTATATCAATGTTTTCTTCATTAAAACCCCCAAAATCTAGCTTTTTTGTTTTTCTTTTGCTGTAGCAGCCACTCTTTGTTTTGCTCATCATACTAGCTTAGTGGTTCGCTATGTATATACCCATGTACATATGTGCGTAGTATTGTGGGAGGAGTAATTGTGGTGGGGGAGCAAGAGAGAGAATCGAGGAAGCCTCACTGTGTGGCAGCCACTCTTGTTTTGCTCATTGTACTTGTTTTGTTCATTAGTGGTTCGCTATGGTGAACACATTTGTACATGGGTATATACAATGTGTGTATATAGTGTAGTAACAGCAACAGGAGTATGTTGGGAGGAGCTATTTTGGTGAAGGAGGTGACGTAATCGTAGCGTCATCTGCTGGCTGCTGTGTGATTTCTCATGCAGTGTATGGTGGCCACTGTAAAGTTTGGACACAATACCGGCTTACTTGCATAGTTCTGGTGAATAAAACATGTAGATAGGTATACATAACATGTGTAAATAGTGTAATACAAACAATAACAGTGTGGTGGGAGGCAGTGGAGCTGCACCAGGAAAAGAACCGGGGGGAGAGGGGATCCCACCCAATGCAAACTCATAAAGGGAAGGAGGGTACAAAAACGCTCTCCCCTGCAGTTACAACCCTCTAAGCAGAATGCACAAGGGCCCAAGCAGGGTCAAAAGGAAAACAACTGCTCCATGCGGATTTCCCTCGATCCCCAGAGATCATCTACAAATGCCCCGGGACAGAGCTCTTATCCATGGCCACTGCCCCAGAAGGAAGGCAGAATCCAGGGGAAAGGCTTCGAAGAAGGGAGTCTACATGGATGACTCAGAAGCATTGGTGAGAGAGAGAGGCTGAACCAACTCTGCCCCCGCATCATAAGGGATAGCCCCCAAAGCCACCCCAAGCTAAACCCTGCCACGACTCCGAAACCTCCTTACGATTGGCAGCTGGAAGCAGGGGAAAAGGAGCAACTACACCTACCTGGGTAGGAAGAGGAGGCACTGACTGAACCATGGCCAAAACAACCAACGCCCTCAAATTCAAGTTTAAAAACCCAAGTGGGGCAGCTCCTGCATCATGCATCACAGCTGCTGCCTAATCCCTGAGATCAACAGAGAAGGAATGAGGAATGTGAAGCACAAGTGGGGAACAAGTCCCACAAGACTCCGGGTCAGTGGTGTCCATGACCCAACCGGCAGCATGACGAAGGCAGTATGGATGATCGTCTCCCTGAGGCAGGGGGCAACGAACAACCTTCAAATTTGCCTAAGGCAAGAGTGGGCTCGGAAGAAGTATCCATGGTACAACCAAGCCCGCAGGGGGGTTTTCCTGGGCCTGCAGCATAAATAAGCCCCACAGGAAGGCCAGGCACTGGGACCAGCTAAGGCAGTAAGCCATGTCTGAAGCAGGCAAACCGATTGCAAGCAGCAGCTGTGAAACCTCGGGGGCAATAGAGGAGGACCACCACCACCACAACCTAGGCTAAGCTTAATAAGGAGCTAAGCAGACCTCCACTGCCACAACAGGCAAAACTGCCAGAATGAAAACACAAGAAACAAAACTGAAACCTCACAAGAAAACTAGCAGACAGAGAGAAACATCAACTGCCGTGTGATAACAAATGCATGCTGTGCTAACTGCAGTGTGCCCCACCAACAAACAAATCCCCTCCCTACCTGGTGCAAGGCGGAAAGCCCAAGGTCCCCGGCCTACCCCAAGGGTGAGGACAACAAGCGAGGAAATCCTCCAATGGGGAGTGATTCCCAAACGCCCCAGGAGAAAATAACTATGACCATGCAAATGCAGTACTTATGGAGCACCTTGGGAAGGTGCCCCTAAGCGCATGCTTCTCCAGTACTTGAAACTCCTGGCAAAATGCACATGTTCGTTTCATAACACCGCCGCAAGGGCGAAACACCAAAGAAAACGAGAACATGGAGTTAGAGTGACAGCGACCACTCGGCATGACTACATCAGTCAAAGAACTGAATGGTGGCGGTCTGACTTACCCAGGCCAGCTCACCCCTCTTCCCCCCTTTTTTTTGGGGGGAAAGGGGGTGGAGGCAATGAGTGGGCAGTTAGTTCGACAAAGTTTTGCTTGTTTGTTTACATTCTGGAGGAGTTCTTTTGTGCTTGTGAGGTTGTAGATTGCTCTTTTCAACCAGGCAGTGGTCTGTTTTGATTCGCCAACCTTTCTGTGTGCCTTCCCTGATTGATGGCAAGATGACATACTTTAAATGTAAAGTATTCATGGGCCACTGCTCTCTTCGCCTCTCTGAGGGGGCCAGGTTCTGGCTCGTGGTCCCCAGTAGGCATACAAGAACTCTGTGGCTGATGACACTGAAGTAGCATGGCACTTGATCATTAAGATAGCTTCAGGGAGCCGATGGGGCTCCCCACAGAAGTGTAGGGTAATTAAAATTTTGTACTGTAAATGTATTAATTAATAAAGAACAATTAGCTGTACTTTCTAAATATATTTAGTGTATAGAAAGTGATATCCTGTATTTCATTAACAGAATTTGCAGACAATTTGCTTACAAACAGATCAGTGATCCTCAAAGGAGAGACTCCAGCAATGCCAGCCACAGCTCTTCTGATGGAATTCTTAGCAGCCTCCAAATTGTAGTGGACAAGCTCAGAATAGGAAACTTCTAACGTAAATATCAAGAAGAGGCGGTTGATACGGTTAAGACAGGGTGAAATGTCAAACTGGCGCCAGGAAGGATGGCCATCTCTGTATTCATAGAAGAACGTGTGAACCACAGAGACCCAATGGCTTGGGTTATCCTAAGACAGAGCAAGTAAAAAATTTAATTAGCGCATATAGTACTTTAATTTTTAGACTAGAGTATACATATAATACACAAGAATATATAAAAGCATTAATATTCAACATACTGTATGTACAAAAAAAAAATTGGAAAAAGAAATCAAACAAGATACAGTAGTATGTTGACTTACATTATCAGCAATGTAGGAAGAAATGCCAATAGGTATTTGGCGCACTTTGTTGAAAACCTCTACTTCTATTGTCCAGTTCTCATGAGAGAAGTATACCTCCACTGTGGAATACTGGCCCTTTCTGACGCCTCGCTCTACCACCCACACATCACACACAATCCCCCTCACTTTCCGCTGTTAAAAAAGATAATGCCATACAATGCTCTATATAGTTTTATTAAAATTTGTTAAATAAATATGGGTATATTGTATAGTATAAAAGCCTAACTAATTGACTCTTACCTGTGCAGTACCTCAACTGATATTTAACTCACACTTCACCTTTATCACCACCAAAGCTGATAGTCTTTTCACACTTTCCCTGCAAGAGCACCAAAACTCAGTTTTTAGCACTTTATAACGATTGTTCACAGTACTGGTAAAAATTGCACATTAATTGTACAGAGGCCAGAAAGAGCATTTTACATTGAAGAGCATTATCAGACTATGGAGTCTGCATCACAAACTACGTGAGGCTAGGAAAATCTATCATTTCCATTTGTGTATTTATGACAAGCTATGGAGATATGGTTGTATTATAGAAACTGATTTAAACTGATTTTGAAACAAAATAAATTTGCCCATCAGTAGAAATTCAGACTCCTGACAATTAGATCACCAGTACAATGTGCTATCATACCCCAATACCTAGTGTTGTATGATGAGCATCATGTGAATGGTCTGATAGACACGACAACAACATCCCCAATATTTAAAGTATGGGAATATATACTATTGCTATTTTTTCTTGAGTGAGCTCTCCGGTAGCTCCCTGAAGCTATCTTGCTGAGATTGCTCCATACAAATTGGTCACAATAGATGCAGAAGTTCTGTTCGGCCTACCAGTGACCAGAGCCAAAACCTGGCCCCCCCCTCCACCTCACACAGGTGCAGAGAGCAAATGATAATTTGCCACCACACTGGAAAAGCATTCAGAATGTTAGTGAAGCTTTACTGACAACTGGAGGGTTAAAAAAAAAGCAAAGCCTTGAAAATGACAAATGAATTGGGTGGTGAATGAGGTGGAGTGAAATGATATCCTTGAATTTGGTTTCTCCAGCTTTATTCCACTTGGTTCCTTACATAATATTTGAAATAACACAAATCAAAGATATCAGAAGGTAAGAAACCCTACAACAAGAACAAATGAAAATGAATATACTGTATTGAATAAGATATTTTAAAAATATCACATTCTTGCCTCCTTTAGACTGTCTGCTAAAAATATTAAAAAAACCCAGCATTAAATGTAATGAAATGCCATTTTCTGGGTTGAGCCCAGGAGGCTCCCTGAAGATAAGGGACTGATATCCACTATATTAGTCCAGAGCATCAGTTAATCAGAGTTCCGTGCCCACCAGGAACTACGAGCCAGAACCTGGTTCCCGAATGTTTCCAGAAAGTAATGGTTTATGAACACTCCACTTTGTGTAAGTATAGTCATGTCTGCCTTTGACTGGGGGGGATCACCCAGAAAGGTAGACAAACAATTATAAACTTCAGCTGGTAAAACATTGCAACCCTAGACCGAACAGAGCCAAAGAACTCCCCACAAAAGGAAACAACAAACAAGCAAATATCCACTCAAACAGCATGCCCACTTGTTAGCGAACCACCACCCCTTCACCCCCAGGACAGGGGAGGGGGTCCTGCCCAGGCAGCCCAAGCACTGACACCAGTAAGTCAGTAAGTCAGTAAGCACCATGGGCACAATCAGAGAACACTGAATGACCATCAGAGGTCCGCGGTTGTTCAATGTCCTCCCAGCGAGCATCAGAAATATTACAGGAACAGCCGTGGACATCTTCAAGAGGAAACTAGATTGTTTCCTTCAAGGAGTGCCGGACCAATTGGGCTGTGGTGGGTATGTGGGCCTGCGAACCGCTCCAAGCAACAGCCTGGTGGACCAAACTCTCACAAGTCAAATCTGGCCTTGGGCCGGGCTTGGGGAGTAAAAGAACTCCCAGAACCCCATCAACCAGGTATCAACCAGTAGTTCATAGACTGATAATAAACCGCCAACAAGAGGGAGGAAAGAGTGTCAGAGGACTCTGGGAGTCTCTGGGACTCAACTTAGAAAATGGCGTTTCATTACAATCAATGCTGGTTTTCTGAGGTGAGCCCCATCGGCTCCCTGAAGCTATATACCCACAGATAAGTAAAAGGGACTTACCAGGGAGCAAAAAACCAGCGTTGAATGTAATGAAACGCCATTTTCTGGGTGAGCCCCATAGGAGGCTCCCTGGAGGCTCCCTGGAGCTTATCGGGCTAATGTATGATATATTAGACCTGGGACATTAGCTAAGGAGTTCAGACCTAGCAGGGACCAGCGCCAGAACCTGGCCCCTTCAGAGAGGTTTCAGGGAGCAATGGCCCTGGAAAACCCCCTTGTGGTTGGGGTTTTCCTTATCTGCCATCGACCGGGGTTAGGCACCCAGAAAGGTAGGCATAACAAAACAAACCCCACATGGTAAAAAAACTAAAACAAAAAACCGAACAGAGAGGTAGAAACTCCCTACAATCCCAAGGAAACAAGCAAACAACCAAACATCACACTTTACTGCCGCGCTAATTGTCTGTGCAACCCTCCCCGCCCCGAAAGGGGGAGGATTTGTTTCTGCCTCGTGCGGGGAGCCCACAGGACCTACCGCGTCAGCTGCCTAGCATCAGTTCGGAAGGTAAGCTTCAAACAATGCGAAAAAAAACGCCGACTGGTGGGAGGGAGGGTTGCCAGGGAGCCTCTGGGGCTCACCCAGAAAATGGCGTGTCATTACATTCAACGCTGGTTTTCTGTGGGGAGCCCCTACGGCTCCCTGGAGCTTCATACCCAAAGAGAAGGAAAAGAAAGGGCTGACCCGGGAGGCGGCCGCCACAAACTCCGCAACGCGAAGCCAAGACAACAGGCTGCAACCTGCGACCGAAGGCAACAAGAACGCACAGGAGCAGACACGTGCATAAAATATGCGCGGCCAAGAACCTGTGTGACCCTCAAATCCCTGCACTTGAAATGAGTCCTAGACGTCACCAATGCAGCAGCGAAAGCTGCAAATGTTTGAACAGCACGGGCGCAAGGACAGACCACAGGCTGGAAGACTTAAAAACTCTGCGGACGACCTGGGAGACCCGAGCCCTGAAACAGGGAACGAGGGGAACCGGATCAACCCAAAGCGCATCCCCAGACACGGTACGCAGGTAACGGCAAAAAAGCGCAACCGGACAACACAGGATGCACCCCCGGCCGAACCAATCAAGCATCAATAACCCAAGAACCCCTCCAGAAAGCAGCCGTCTCGACCGTTGCCAGAAGGACGGAGAAAGGCTGCAAACGTACAAACCTATCACCAGTACCAAAGAGCAGAAACCTGAACTGAAGGGGCTACCACAAACTGAGGAGAAGATAAGAAGGCACCCTGATCAAGGACCAGGACGGCTCAGGCGACGCATGAGCAGGCTGGAGGTGAAACAAAACACGAGAAAGCGTATGAAACTGGGCAGATGTGACGTCCACCCCGAACGCAAGCCGGAGCGGCTCCGCCAGCGCCGCACAAAACGAGGCGACAGTAAGAAACATCAAATAACTGTAGTCCTGAAAACCCAAGAAAGGACAAGACAACCCGATGCGAAAGAGAAGACAACCTACAAAGAGCAAGAAAAAGGGTGCATAGAAACACCAGGAACGTCATACTGTCGCCGAGACGAAGCTCGCAGGTGGGACACCAACAAAGACCTGAAGCCACAGAGATGGTGATACCCGCGTCAAAATACCAGATGCGAAGAGCCGAGGAGAAGGCCGAACCAGTCACGTACAGGACTGGTCCGACCTGCTGGAAGAGGCGGAGCCGCGGGAAAATGCCCCGGGTTCGGACATTTATCAAGCAGCATCTGAAAATAAAGCTGGGCCAGCCACCAAGGGATCATAAGGACTACTCTCAGGGGAATGGGCTCCAACCGAGCCAGAACCCGAAGCAACAGCTGGACCGGGAGAAGAGGAACAGGTACCCCCACCTCGACCAGTCCTGCCAAAAGGCATCCACCATGAACGCCTTGTAGGCGGGTAAGGGCGCCACATAGAATGGGCGATGCCTAGACCACGCCAACTTGAAGACGTCCATGGCCAGGAGTCCATACATCCGGCAGAGCTAACGAAACGAGTCGGCGACGACTGGCCAAACTGGGAACAGAGGAATGAACCGAGACAGCTGTCCGCCAAGACGTAGGACACACCCCGGACATGAACCTCATGGTTAGCCAAACCTCTAGAATCCAGCAAACGAGCGACTAAGGGACCAACCCCAAAGGTCAAACAGCTAAGAGAAACCCTGTGGTTCCGGCAAAGAACCGCCAGAGAACAGTCCGAATGGAGCTGAATGGTAAGGGACCGAGAAACCTAAACCCTCCAAAGCGCAAACCAGACAGCCACAAACTCCCGAACCATGCTGTGAGCCCGACGGATGGACAGACCCCACCATCCCCGGCCGATCTGGTGAGCACTGGTCACAAAGCCCCAGCCAAGAGATGACCCGTCCATGAACACATCGAGCGAAGGCTCGGGGAGGTTCCAAGGCATGGAACCACGAAAACCCCAAAGAGGAAGCTGGTGACGCAGCACCAACACAAGATCCCCGGAGGAACGAACCCAACGATTGCAAGTGAGGCGGAAGGGGAGTCTCTGAAGGAACCAAACAGACGCCGAAGCCAAACCTGACCCAGTGGGCAGACCAGCACGTCGAAGTTCAGACTCCCGCACAACTGCTCGAGCAACCGCTGAGCAACCCGGGACCCCCTCATGAACAGCCGAAGGCGGGACCACAGCCGCAGCAACACTTCTGGAGGGAAAGACAAGGAGCGGCCCAAGAGCCCTAAACAAGACCCAGCCAGGTCCGAACCCGGGACGGAAACAGATGGAACTGCCTCCAGATCACCAGGAAGCCAAACCCGGCAATCTGGAAAGAACCACTCCTGGCGAGGAACAGGTACCCCCACCTTGACCAGTCCTGCCGAAAGGCATCCACAGTGAATGCCTCGCAAATGGGTGGCGAGCAGACAAGCGGCAAATGGCGAGCAGACAAGCGGACCAACTGGGAGCCCACACCAGCCAGTCATCGAGGTCTCGGCCCCAACTAAACCCCGCCCCGACCCCAAAACCCGCAGACAGTCCGGAGCCAGGAACAGGGAGGAAAAGGGGTGAACCAAAACTAACTAAAACGGGGCGGCCCCGGGGCATCCAAGTGGGAAACCAACCTAGAGTGTTACAGCAACCTAACCTAGCTTGCAACATGGATGCCGCCTGTACTCTGAACAGTAATAACATCAGGAGTGTACTGGAGAACAGGCAGAGAAAATCTCTCGCAAGACTCCGGGTCAAGGGTCAGTGACCCAATAGGCAACATGACGGAGGTAAAAGTGGCGACTGTCACCCGGAGACAAGGGCACAGCAACCAGTGATCCCGTACAAGACGGGTCGGAACCCAGAAGACACATTCAATGGTCCACTGAGCCCCGACAGGGGTTTCCAGGGCCCGTAGGGGGTAACAACTACGGGAAGCCCGGGCAAGGTGTTGCTAACTGGTTAAACACCCAAAAATAACAAGGGGGTAAAGGACACCACTGAAAACCCCTGCGACGTGTACAATCACGGGGGCCTAGCAGAGGGCCACCAAACACTACCAGTGGAACTATAGCCACACGAGGCAGACCCCTTCCCCCCCCACCAGGCAAATGAAAATAAAAACAAAAGAAAAACCCCGCAAAAGTACACCGTCTCCAGAGGCAACAGGAACCGGTAGCCACTTAGGTGGCAGGTCACGCAACACCTTGACGCCCTAACCAGCACAATACCAGCAGTCCCTACCCAGGGCCAAACAAGGGCCCCAAGCCCCAGCTGGCCCCAAGGGCGAGGCAAATGCCGAGCAGCAAGAACCTCTACGGGAATTGTTCCCGAACGCCCCAGGGAAGATAACCCTGTTATGCAAGGGCAGTACTCGCAGGGCGCTTAGGGAAGTCAGCCACTAAGCGCATGCAGCCCTGGCACTGATGAGGTACTCCTGGCCACCGCACAACACAACACACGGCAGTGAACGCCACACAAGGCAAACACCGCCTAGGAAACTGAGGCCAGAGAAGCGTCTATCCCGGTTGACATTAGCCTACGAATTAAAGCTTGGCAGCCGGCGCGGTAGGTCCGGGGCTCCCCTCTCGGGGCGGGGAGGGCTGCGCGGACGATCGGCGCAGCATTAAAGTGTGATGTTTGCTTGTTTCCTTGGGAGTGTAGGGAGTTTCTACCTCTCTTAATTTTTTGTTTTAGTTTTTTACCATGTGGGGTTTGTTTTGTCATGCCTACCTTTCTGGGTGCCTGACCCCGGTCGATGGCAGATAAGGAAAACCTCAACCACAAGAGGGTTTTCCAGTGCCATGCTCCCTAAAACCTCTCTGAAGGGGCCGGGTTCTGGTGCTGGTACCTGGTAGGTCTGAACTCCTTAGCTAATGTCCCGGTTTAATATAACATACATTAGCCCGATAAGCTCCAGGGAGCGTAGGGGCTCCCCACAGAAAAGTGAAACTTATTTGGGGGGGGCCAGGCTCTGGTCCCCAGCAGCCCATTGAGGACTTGTAAGGCTAAAGTGACTCACCTGCTGGAGTTATCTCAACAAGCTAGTTTCAGAGACACACCAACCAGCCTCTTCAGAAAAAAAGACAGTGGTACCATAAAACTAACCGTGCCCTTGTAGATAAATGATTTGGGGTTCATAAAGATGAGCTCGGAGGCATGGCGGAGTCGAATGTGCTGATTGTCAGCTAGAGCAGCATCCAGAGCAGACACAGGGATGCCCTGAATGGTGCAGTTACTTGTCTTTTCATTGATCATATACTGTATACCTAAATCATCAGCAGTAGGGAGAAATATTTGTGTTAGTTGTATTCATATGTTAAGGTTCAGGAAAGATGAGGAATGTTAAGAATTATCCAAGTGCAAAGTTAACGGACAGACTTGGGGATGAGGATGAGGTTGTAGATGAACTTGGTGATTAGGGGGAGGTTGTGGACAGACTTGGCAATAATGGTGAGGTTGTGGACAGACTCTGGGATGAGGGTGAGGTTGTGGACAGACTCTGGGATGAGAGTGAGGTTGTGGACAGACTCTGGGATGAGCGTGAGGTTGTGGACAGACTCTGGAATGAGGGTGAGGTTGTGGACAGACTCAGGAACAATGATGAGGTTGTGGACAGACTTGGGGATGATGATGAGGTTGTGGACAGACATGAGGGAAATAGTGAGGCTGTGGACAGACTTGGGGCAATAGTGAGGCTGTGGACAGATTTGGGGGCAATAGTGAGGCTGTGGACAGATTTGGGGGCAATAGTGAGGCTGTGGACAGATTTGGGGGCAATAGTGAGGCTGTGGACAGATTTGGGGGCAATAGTGAGACTGTGGACAGATTTGGGGGCAATAGTGAGGCTGTGGACAGATTTGGGGGCAATAGTGAGGCTGTGGACAGATTTGGGGGCAATAGTGAGGCTGTGGACAGATTTGGGGGCAATAGTGAGGCTGTGGACAGATTTGGGGGCAATAGTGAGGCTGTGGACAGATTTGGGGGCAATAGTGAGGCTGTGGGCAGATTTGGGGGCAATAGTGAGGCTGTGGGCAGATTTGGGGGCAATAGTGAGGCTGTGGACAGATTTGGGGGCAATAGTGAGGCTGTGGACAGATTTGGGGGAAATAGTGAGGCTGTGGACAGATTTGGGGGAAATAGTGAGGCTGTGGACAGATTTGGGGGAAATAGTGAGGCTGTGGACAGATTTGTGGGAAATAGTGAGGGTGCGGACAGATAGAGGGGTGATAGTGAGTGGTGTGGACAGATACAGAGGTGATGGTGAGGGTGCAGAGAGACACATGATTAATGGTGAGGTTGTGGACAGTCATGGAAGTGCCATGATGCCAGAATGAAAAAATATTGAATTCCAAATGAATTCTAAATGATTTCAATTGGAATTAATTATTTACTACAAAAGAAAAAGCTCTGCTGATTTAATACTTATAAACTGCCCCAATAAGCAATACAACTCCTCTCCAAAATACAAACATGGTATACCAATTTACCTGCCTTAATGAAGGATGTCACTGTCGATCTACGTAGATTGGTATGACCGCCACAAAGCTATCAAGAAGACTACCCTGCCTTCTACAAGTTGGTGCCCCTAGACACCATATACAAAGTGTGCATAACACAACACTCACTAGGATCATGCTAGTAGATAATACAACAATCCTAACAATCCTGGCATCCACCACTGACCAGAGAAGACTGTAAATACTGGAAGCTATATTCATAAAAGAAAAAAGACTCACCCTAAATGGGTCTCTAGGGGGCCAGCAAACCAAAACAGACAACTGCTGATTTCAAAGGAGACTAAAGCCTCTCATCAACACTATTTGCAGGTCACTGGTTGTATCTCAGTGGATGCCTTGTTGGTTGACCTGTTTCCTTGGTCACCTGTTCCAAAGTTCACATTTCTCAGGTTGTCTGCCATTCTCATTATGTCTGTCCAGCCTGTGGCCCACCCTTAGACCCATAATGTTCGCAAATACTGTACACGTCTTTGGCCGTGGTCATCTTCAACATGTCCTGGGCCGATATTAGGGCTTGGGGGTTTTAGCTTTCTAACAGCATTCTGGCAGCTCAATGTTCCTGGTTCCAGTTGGTTGTGTTTTGCTTTGGGCATATCTCCCGGTCTGGGTTCTCTTCATCCTAGTGCTTCTTTTCCTTCCTGGTAAGTCCCATTTTTGTTTTCTGTGGTTAGTTAGATTCAGACAGCTACCAGGGAGCTCCCTCCAGAACCCCAGCATTGAAAGTAATGAAATGCATCTTTCTGGAAGAGCCTCGGTGGCTCCCTGATTTCCTCACTCCTTCCATGTTTGCTAACTTGTCATTGGGTTGTTCATCAGCTCCAGATCCCGAGATGTTGAGCTGGCTGAGGGCACGGGTGGTCGTAATTGGTACTAAAGAGTTTCAAGCTAGTTTCAGTGAATCCCTTATTCCATGTGAATCATTTGCAAATGTGTTTGACAGTTTCAAGCCTTTATTTTTTGTGAACCCTCCAGTTGCCTGTAAATTTTTCACAGACTTTCTGGAAGATATTTCTAATGGGGTGGCAGAGTGTTACAAGTTCCCGGCACCTCTGTGAGGGAGCCAGGTTCTTGCTCTCATTTCAGGTAGGCAAAATAGATCTTTCCCAACTGACATGATCTGTCAATATGAAGCCTCAGAGAGTCACCAGGGCTCCTCCAGAAAGAGATGTTTAATTACATTCAAATGCTGGGTTTATTGTAGAGTAATGCTATGGCTTGTACTATAACACATTATGCTTTTTTCTAAATTAGTGTTCAAATTTCAGAGTGGTTGTTTGCTTCATTTTTATGCAAGAGGATTATATAAGTAACACCTGAAGAGTTTGATAAGCACAGTTACAGATTTTTGGGGTAGCTGCCCAAGATATATATTTTATTAAGTTTATTTTCATAGCAGAATAGTTCATATTAGCTCTTTTTATTATGTTAGTATTAACCCTCAAACCGCGCATATCATATATAAATGATATCAGTGACAAAACCGAAACCGCGCACATCATTTATATATGATTTCGTGTCTAGCGCTATAATTTAAACACCACGCCTGGGATAGGGGCAGCTATAGTACAGCCATGACCGATAGTTGCCAGATGCCACCTAGAAAAAAAATCCAGGCCAACATTCTTAGGTGTTACAGCTTCAGTATTAAGCAAGCCACCAAGGCTGGCGCACGCAGCACGAGCTCACAGCACCGCTGTTCAGCTTGTGACCACAGCATCGCCTACAAATACCATAATATAAATGATACTGCTATTATTTAGCAGTGATAGTATTACTGAAGCCCCCTGACTGTGATAAAACTGACCAGGATTCTGATAATAGCAGGATTGTGGTGATACTTAGCGCTGTGCTCCATGGAGGGAGGAGTAAGGCTGTGGGAGGGAGGGTTGTGGCGTCGTTTTCAGACTGTGTGTGTGGTCACCATTTATTGACTGCACTCACCATACCAGCTTAGTGGTTCGCCATGGTGAACACAAATGTAGATACTTATATATAACGTGTGTATAGTGTGAGATAACAGCGAGTGGAGTAGGTTGGGAGCCGCCATTTTGGTGAGGGAGGAGCATCGTCTGCACGACTTGGCATGGTGTTTACTGATGGCCACTATGATCTTTGGGCACCATACCAGCTTATTTGTTCAGGTATGGTGAATAAAACAGGTAGATACTTATATATAATGTGTGTATATAGCGTAATAACACCACAAACAATATTGTTGGAGGACAAATATTAGTGCGTCTGGCCTTGAGGGCGGCCGCCGATCAGCTGACTGTGTGAGTAGCTACGTCTTTATGCCTTTACTCACCATACAAGCTTAGATGTACAGTTATGGTGAACAAAACATGTAAATACGTATATATAACGTCTGTGTATAGTGAATAAATACAGAAAGAGTATTGTGGGAGGTGAATGAGGGCGAGGGAGGTGAATGAGGGCGAGGGAGGTGGTGTTGAGGGAGGGAGTGGCAGTGAGTGGCTCGCTGGTGTTTGGCGGTCACTCCTCGTTGCTTTTTGACTCACAAGACCAACTTAGTAGTTCGTTATGGTGTACAAAACATGCAAATACTTATATATACATAACCTGTGTGTATAGTGTAACAACAGCAAAACTATTTGTTTATTGTTTTATTAACATAATAATTGAATCACTAATATGCACACCATAATTTTAAGTACAGCAATGGTTCACACATTTTATAATATAAATATACCACAATTCACTGTATGGAATAATATTACTGCAAAAAACTAAAAAAAAATCAATCAGAGACATTGAAATAATTAGGTAATAATATATTTGTTGCAACTGCCGTCTGACAGCTCAGGCGGAGTAGACCTCGTCTGGCGAAGGCTCTGCCAACGCCCCTTTTTTGCCACACTTCCCTACCCTATTGCGGCTAAAATATGCCACCTACAATTTTTTTGTTATTTTTTCCGTGAAAAAAACCAGCATTGAATGTAATGAAACGCCATTTTCTGGGTGAGCCCCGGAGGCTCCCTGGAGCTTATCGGGCTAATGTATGTTATATTAGACCAGAACATTAGCTAAGGAGTTCAGACCTACCAGGGACCAGCACCAGAACCTGGCCCCTTCAGAGAGGTTTCAGGGAGCAATGGCCCTGGAAAACCCTCTTGTGGTTGGGATTTTCCTTATCTGCCATCGACCGGGGTTAGCACTCAGAAAGGTAGGCATAAAACAAACCCCACATGGTAAAAAACTAAAACAAAAAACCGAACAGAGAGGTAGAAACTCCCTACAATCCCAAGGAAACAAACAAACAAGCAAACATCACATTTTACTGCCATGCCAATCGTCCGAGCAGCCCTCCCCACTCCGAGTGGGGAAGGGGGGAGCCCCGGACCTACCGCGCCGGCTGCGTAGCATCAGTTCAGAACTAAGCTTCAACCAATGCGAAAAAACCGCCGACCGGTGGGAGGGAGGGTTGCCAAGGAGCCTCATGGCCTCACCCAGAAAATGGCGTTTCATTACATTCAACGCTGGTTTTCTGTGGGGAGCCCCTATGGCTCCCTGGAGCTTCATACCCAAATAGAAGGAAAAGAAAGGGCTGACCCGGGAGGCGGCCGCCACAAACTCCGCAACGCGAAGCCGAGACAACTGGCAGCAACCTGCAACCCAAGGCAACAAGAACGCATAGGAGCAGACGCGCATAAAGCATAGGCGGCCAAGAACCTGTACGACCCTCAAATCCCTGCACCCGAAAAGAGCCCTAGACGTCACCAACACAGCAG